TAAATACAGACTTAATTATTTATTTAATTACTAACAATTACAAATATTTCTAATAACTTTATTTTTTATCTATTCAAAAAAATTTCCAAAAAATGCTATATTTTTTTCTTAATTAATATTGTAATTACTTATCTATTTAACTAAATGAACAACTAAATATATAATCTTAATATTTAATCAACAAAATAACAATATATTACAATATAATTAATATTTAATTTATTGATTTATTTTGTACTAACCTAACGCTTTAACTTAATGAACTAGGAATAAATAAACTTACTAATGTTTTCAATAAATTTTGAATTACTTAAGTAAATTAACAATTAGTAGCTACAGTAATAATAATAAAAATAACAATTTAACTAACAACATAAAATAAAATATAACAATTATATTTTCTAACTAAAAAAATGAACAATAAATTAAAGTAAGTAAATTAACAATTAACAATAAAATTAATTCAATCAATAACTAAAAATAAAAATAACACAAAATGTAAAAATTAACAATAATATTCAATTAATCAATAATTAACAACAACATTAATATAACAATTAATATTAAATTAACAATTAAACATTTCAATTAACTATCACAATTTACACTAAAATAACACACCAAATAAATTTTAATTAAATAATCAAGTTAAAAAAACACATGCAATGAACAATCAATTCAATAATTAAACTAGCAATAATAAGTAATTAAACAAAAAATTAAAAAAAAATCAAATTATTTGACTTAAATAAATAACTGAAAAAATTAATAATTGAAAGGAGGGACTAGATTTAGGTGGACCTGTCACCAAGAGAAGGATGAGAGGGGACCACTATCGTCGGTCAAAAATCCTCGTCGGAATATGATCGTCGGAAAATGGCAGCTTCAACGACAGAGAGAAAGATTGAAAGGAGGAGGAAAAGAGGGAAGAAATATGGAGATTATAAGGAAACAAAAGCTTTGAGGAAAGAGAGGACAGGTTTTGAGCAAAATAAAGATAGATGTAGTCGTTGTCGGAGGAGAAGAAAGAAAAAATGTGCAAATTCCGTTCAACTGGCACTTATAAAAAGGTATAGTTTTTGGCGACGGTCCGAACGTAAATTTGAAATTAAATTTGATCGATTCCCTCCAACGGTTTACTTTTAGCGACGTCTTAGCGACGATCCCAATGTAATGTTTCCAACGATTATTTTTCCAATCGTTAAAAAATTAAAAAAATTTACTTTACCAACGGTTTAGCGACGGTCCTAGACCATCACTAAACCGAAATATTTTTGCAACGGTTTAGTATTTAAAACCGTTGCTAATCTTCGATCCGGCCCATTTGGTAACGTTTTAGCGACGGTTATAGACCGTTGCTAAAACGAATATTTTTGCAACGGTTTAAATATACCAAACCATTGCTAATCTACCCTTTAGTAACGGATTAGCGATGGGCAAGACCCGTTGCTAAAGTAGTATTTTATTTAGCAACGGTTTTTTTTATAAAATCGTTGGAAAAATATTAAATAACCTTTAGCAACGGTTTTGACCGTTGCTAATACGAATTACATCTTTAGGAACGGGTTAGCGATGGTATAAACCGTTGCTACATTTGCAATGGTTTCTTATGTATGGAAACGAGTCGCTAAAACGATTTGCCTTTAATATTAGCAACGGATTCGTAGACCGTTGCTAAAAAACGATCACAAATCGTAATATTTGTAACTATTTTGTAGACCGTTACTAAAGTCATTAAAACTGTTGCTAATTTTTGTCTTTAGCAATGGGTTTTTGACCGTCGCTAAAAATCCGTCACTAAAACATATCTTTCTTGTAGTGCCAATTTGGTCAGAAAAGACACAATTGGTTGGTGGTTTAACTAGCTAGTCTTTCTTGAATCACGTGGTCAAGGAATATAAAATAATAAAAAATTATGATAAGATCAAAATAACAATATTATAAAAATAAATAAATAAATATTGCAAAAACCTTTCACAGATTTACTTCTATTGTTCAGTTTCAACTTTCAATCAAATAAAATTTTCATGTTGGCCTGTTTTTTTAAGCTAGTTTGCAACTAGCAACCTAATGAGTTTGATTGGATTTGACGACTGATTCAATAACCAGGCAATCATTTTTATCACAACAAACGTTGGGTCAGGAGGAATTCTTCAAAGCTCTGAAATTAACTAAAAATATATCTTAAATTTAATTTTAGAGATATGGTTAATAAGGTACATTTGTTTATCAGCATGAGCAATTTCTATCCCAATTTTCTTTTGTTGATCATTAGCCTGATGTCGTGGGTTATTTGTGATTGCTTCAATTGAAAAAAAAAAAAAAAAAATCTTCCCTCATAAAACTATTTATTTTTTGAAAAACAATTTTCAAAACTTTTTTTTTTATAAAACCATCAATCACTGATCGATACTTATTCAAAAATTTAATGTCACGTGTCGATTTCGAATTGATAATGTTATAACAGTGAGTCTAAAATAAGAAATCTTGAAAAACAAAAGATATCAATTGGGGGGGTTTACACCCATTAAAAAGACTGAATCAAAAGTTAAAAAGATAACTGATCACTGATATGCAAAACAGTCGAATTATTGCACTCTATTGCTTATGAATTTAATTAATTGCAGAATATATTCTAATGTGTGCTTTGAGTATGTTTTGTGTTCTAATTTATAATTAACTACACTAAAAGCATTAAAACTTAACTTGTATCCTGGGCTGCAAGTAGATCATCTAATTGGGTTTCGAAATCATAGTAGCCACTGAGCCCGTTTTCACTACCCTGGGCCCTATCCAAAGAATCCAGCACTCTAGAAAGCTCAAATCTATTTTCAACCAAGTTCTGATCTCCACCAATGTAACCACTCATAATCAGCGGTAAAGAATTCAATACCCTCTTATCGGCCTCCTGATTTTCCGAACATGAGATTGATGCCGGTGTCTTGATTTCAAGAAACAAAATTATGGGTGTAAATAGTTAAATTTGTTTTTATATATTAACCTAATTCTTCAATCTATTTTTATATTTTTAATTACATCTATTATATCTCTAAATGATTTTTAAGTTTTCAATTTGTTTTTAGATTAATTTTTTTGACAATTAATATTTTTTTTTATTGAAATGCCCTTGATTGAAAAACATATCAAAATATAAAATTTTCCAACTTGTGTGTTTTATTATTTATTTATTTTTGCATTTCCATGAAGATCCTTTTAATAAAAAAATTAATAAAAAAGACATATTAAAAATTTAAATATTATTCGGTAATATAATAAATATAATAAAAAAAATGTATGGATAGATTGAAAGTTTTTATGTAAAAACTTATTGAACTATTTGCCGAATTTATTGGGTCGAAACAATCATTCATGAAAGACTTCTTGATGTCACAACATTCAGACAATCTACCAATATACATATTTAAATCTTATCCTTCAACCTATGAACTCTTCAGTTGCACCATATCGGATGGTAAGCATTACTCAAATCTATGGACTCCAGCTTACCATATTCGATTGAGGTTCATGATAATCTACTAAGATACTAATCTCTTCCTCCATATAAAACTTCTTGAATTGAAATGATTTCTTCAACAAACATCAATACAAAGACTTGATTAAATTTGTTTCAAAATGATTAGGATCAACTTGATAAAATTAATAAATTTTAGACTTAATTGAGAATGCGTGTATACACGTTGAGACTAAATTGAAATCTCCCCTTATGAATTTCGATTTCTGATCAAATGTATCTTTGTCAAGCTAAGGATTTCCACTATTGTATGTAGACCTGTTAGATTTCCGTTGAAAAAAAAAAAAAAAGAAACAAAGAAACAAAGAAAGAAAAAGGGGAAAAAAGAAAAACTGTATGCCCTATTGCACGAAGTCTTTTAGAGATTAGGTGTAGAATCCCGTTCGCACTCTTGGGTAAGAAGGTAAAGGAAAGGGAAAAATCAGTCTGCCATTGTATGAATGGCCAATTAAATGGAGGGAAAAACCTTATGGCTTCTACTACTGCAATAAGTGCTTCTTTTAGCTCTAATTAATCTAGTAGAGCCATCTAGCATACAGAACGTCATTGACAGGTGCTAGCTAGGTCTTGAGTGATATGGTCAAAATAGAGAACCTCAATGGTGCTTCAAATAGCACTACGAAAAAATGCCTCACTTGTAAGCTTTATTTGTATCAGGTCCAAATTTGTGTTGTCTGCTTTTCTTGGATTGTCAATGGTTCTTTAGATTTGGTGTATTATTTAGTTATAGCCAAATGTGACGAGATCAATTATGGTATCTATATTTGTTTTGGATCTATATTTATTTAGGAATTCATAATTACAAAGGAGTCCATATTTGATGTATACTAGGTTTGGAAAGTCCTTGTTGTTTTGGGACTAGAGTTTGCCGAATTATTTCCCACCCGTTAATTCTCTATATTCTCTTTTTACAGTCATTAGATCTTATCTCCTATCTTTTTTTATTCTTTTGTTTGGCAAATCTAATTAGTTAAACAGAGATAATGTAATTTGAGTAACCAATGCATTATTGCCACATCATCAAATCCTATCTCTAATAATCTTTAATTCATCAAAATAGACGATGATTCTCTCTCTCACTCATAGTTTCTAGAAGATCACAACATATTTATAGCTTCTTCACAAATAAGTAAATTATAGTTAAAGTTCAGTTAATTTATTAGAAACAAAACAAAAACTCAAATCCTTCTTTTCATCTCCATTAAGTTTCTAGGATTGTCTTTCTATATATGGACCAATGCAAATAAATGCAATGTGCATATATGTAATATGAATCCTCATAGAAGATCGAACATGAGATTCTTTTTGTTTTAACACCAGAAGTTATTATGGTCTCTTTAAAAGAAAGAAATGCTAGGCATAGAGTTTCCAACTTCTAGCACCAACTATATTGGCATCATTACTTGTTTATACTTGTGCTGTACCTAGCTTGCTATCTCCACAACCTTACTGGAACCAAACAACACAAATGGAAGAAGGTTTGAAGCATGACGTTATTGATTGGTTTGAGGGCATATCAGAGAGTGCCTTCGAAGTTCAGACTGACACTCTTCGCAAGATTCTTGAGCAGAACTGGGGTGTGGAGTATCTGAAGAAATGGTTTGGGGATGTCAATATCCAATATATGGATGCAAGTGCATTGGAATCCCTTTACACCTCTTTGGTGCCTCTTGCTTCCCATGCAGATTTTGAGCCTTACATTAACAGAATTGCAGACGGGGATACTGCTCATTTACTCGTTCAACAACCTGTTAGTCTTTTCTGCATAAGGTATGTGCATCTCTTCTCACCTTTCTTAATTTTTTTCATTTTTTGGATGATTCTGACTTTGTTCATGGTTACATTTTTCTTAAGTTAGGGAACCACAGAAGGAAGGAGGAAGTATTTTCTTTTCACTAACCATATTCTCCGAACTAGTTTTCAGCTTTTCAGCTTGGCAGTAGCCTATAGGTCAAGGTAAAATATATCTTTTTATTGTGTTACCAAATTGACTTAACATGGAGTTACCATTTCTTTAACAACTTTGCAACTATTTAATTTCTTATACCGGATATCTCTTTGTTTTATGTGATGGATATAGGTTCTATCCAATAAGGGAAGGAGGAAGGATCTTTGAGTTCATATACAACAGCAGACAATTCAAAACGAAAGGAGGGTTGAAAGTAGGAACAGCAACAACTCATTATTTTGCAAGCGAAGAGTTTAAGATCAAGCAAGAAAAAACAAAGACCTTCACTTGCCGCCCACATGAAGTCATTTTTGGTGAAGACTACAACCAATCTACTTATTGTCATCTCCTCCTTGGTCTCTTCTTCTGTGATGAAGTAGAGTTCATAGCCTCTACTTTTGCTTATAGCATAGTTCAAGCCTTTACAACATTTGAAGATGTTTGGAGAGAAATAGGCAATGACATTAAACAAGGTACTCTGAGTGAAAGAATCAACTTGCTAGAGATGAGGAAAGCTGTGCTGGCTATCATCTCTCCAAATCCAAGCTTGGCTTCAAAGATAGAAGAAAGCTGCAAGAAGTTGGAAAATCTAAACTGGGCTGGTTTGATTACTAAGCTTTAGCCAAATGCCAACTATGTTTATTCCATAATGACAGGCTCAATGCTACCTTACTGGAAAAAGCTAAGGCATTATTCTGGGGGCTTGCCTTTAGTGAGTGCTGATTATGCATCAACAGAGAGTTTCATTGGAGTTAATGTGGATCCTTCTTTGCCTCCTGAGGATGTTACTTTTGCAGTAATACCTAGTTATTCATATTTGAGTTCATTCCTCTTGATAGACAGAATCAAGATTGCAGCTCAGCCATTGATGAGTTCATAGAAGGTGAGCTAGTACCACTCTCGAAGGTCAAGGTTGGGCAACAATATGAGGTTGTCCTCACTACTTTTACTGGTAAGTTTAAAATTTCTTTTTTCTTTAGTTGCTATTATACTTTTCATTTAGAAGTTGGTTCCAAAAAGTTAAACTTTTGCTTTATTTGTTCAGGGCTTTACAGATGCCGGCTTGGAGATGTAGTGGAAATAGCTGGTTTTCACAATGGGACACCAAAATTGAGCTTTATGTTCAGGAAAAAGCTAATTTTGAATGTAACCAACGACAAAACCACCGAACAAGACTTGCAAAAAGTGGTGGAGATGGGGTCTCAGCTACTCATGAGCAAGGCTGGAGCAGAGCTTGTGGATTTTACTAGCCACGCTGAGGTAGAAAACCTACCAGGTCACTACATAATTTACTGGGAAATCAAAGGACAAGTTGAGGAAGAGGTTATTGGTGAGTGTTGCAATAAAATGGATGTATGTTTCGTCGAACATGGCTATGTGGTGTCAAGAAGAACCAATTCAATTGGACCTCTAGAGCTTTGTATTGTCCAGACAGGAACTTTCAAGAAGATATTAGGCTATTTCATTGGAAATATTGGGGGAGCATTGAGCCAGTTCAAGACTCCTAGGTGCACTAACAATCAGGGACTCTTGAAAATTCTCAGTGAGAGCACCGTTAAAAGGTTCTACAGCACTGCATATGAGTAAAAACATCTTTTAAATTTATGCTATGTTTCTTTTTATAATCACTTATGCGCTTTCGATTATATTGAAAGTACCATTTATGTATATATTGATCATTGGGCATCACCAAACAAGGGGAGTTCGTCAGCATGTTTGTGATCTCTAAAAGATGCCACTAAGTAAGATCTGTATTAAGAATCCGGTGCTACATTGTTTAGATCATCTCGAGCATATTGTGTAATTGCTGAGATTGATTGTCACACGTAGAAAATAGATTGGTGACGGCTCCATTTTCCTAACTTTTTCGAAGAAGCCATTTTTTTCGATCCTTCTCTGTCAAGACGATGATGACAAAAAGGATTTTATAAAAAAAGTTAGTATTCCTAGCATTTTAGTTTTATTTTTTAAACATTTTATGCCATCAAAGATAATACACTTCACATAATAATAGAATAATCGTGTAATTCTTAGGAGATGTTAGGTGGAGGGGAAAAGGCATGAAAACTTAACTTTTCATCCCATTTACTCGTGTTTGGTACAAGTTTAGAGACAGGAAAAAATTTCATAGAGTGACATGAAAAGAGATGCGCTAGAACATAAAGACGAAAGTCCAAGGCCACCTGGACCTGAAGACGGCGTGAGCTTGGATGTTTCTTGAGGCCGAGACATTCAAGACCTAAAGAGGCCAAAATTTTCAGTCTTAGTTTATCGTATTTTATTGCTTTAGGTTGAATTGAATTACAGTGTAATCTATAGTTAATGAATTTTATGCATAATGTATTACTTAGGACTCATCCTTTATAGTTGTGCAGAGATAAGAGATAAGAGAATACAAAAACTCTATCTAGTTACAACTCCTATCTAAGTCTAGTATTTGGTTAGCAAACCATCTCTTGAGTTGATAGAGTTTAGGTGTGATTATGTCTGCAGAATCCATGTCTTCTTCAGCTCCTTGTTATCTCAACACTCCCCCCACAAACTAATAGTGGGGAATTCGCCAACTTTGAGTTTCTGACCATTTAGTAGACAACAGTTTTGTAGGAATATTAGCAATCTAATCTTGTGTGGAAATGAATTCAACGCGTAAAGATCCTCTTGCAACCATATCTCTTACAAAATGAAAGTCAATTTCAACGTGTTTGTTATGTGCATGGAACTCTAGGTTAACTGCTAGGTACGTTGTTCCAATGTTGTCAAACCAAATAATTGGTTTGGTGTTGGGACAAACACCCAATTCACTCCGTCGGGAATTGACCCATTAGATTTCTGCAGCCAAATCAGTAATCGCTTTAAATTATGCTTTAGTAGAACTACGAGCCACCGTTTTCTGTTTCGAAGACTTCCATGTAATAAGATTAGGCCCAAGGTAGATCGCATACCCACCGGTTGATTTTCTTATCGTCTAAGGAGCCGACCCAATCTGAATTTGAAAAACCAAACATGGTGTGTGTCTCTGACTATCGTATGTGAATACCCTGACCAGAAGTATGTTTGAGCTAACGTAGTATATGCTTTACTACAATCTAGTGATCAAAATATGGATGATGCATGAACTTACAGACTTTGTTCACAGCGTATGAAATGTCTGGCCTTGTTAAAGTAGCATACTGGAGAACACCAACTACCTAACTATACAAGGTGGGATATTCAAAGACCGTGCAGCCACTCTTTGTTAACTGGGACGAGGTGAGCATAGAAGGTGACACTGGTTTGCAAGACAACATTTCGTGTCTGGTCAGAAGATCAGCAACATACTTTTGCTGAGATAGAGGATACCATTCTGTGTTTGGATTATTTCAATGCCTTAAAAATAGCCTATGTCCCTAAGATCCATAGTAGCAAAACGAGAATTCAAGGTGTTAATTACAGAGGTAAAAAAGGTGGGATTGTTCCTAGTGACCAGTATATCATCTACATAAATTAGGAGAAACACTCTATAGTCGTTGACCCTATAGAAAAACAAAGAAGAGCCAGTCTTTGAACCTACAGATCCAAAACCAATCAAAAAAATCTTGTAGGTGGGAGAACCATGCTCGTAGTGACTACTTTAAACCACACAGTGACTTATGGAGTTTACACACATGATCAGGGAGCTGAGGATCCACAAACCCAATTGATGGTTGAGCCATAAACGCATCTTCATTGAGACTGCCATTCAACAGAAAAGCATTGTGTACATCCAATTGACGAATGGGCCATCCATATGAAACTGCCAAAGCTAGAAAATATCGAATGGTGGAGGGTTTCACCGCTAGACTTGTCTCTCTATAGTCGATACCCTCGTGCTGATGACACCCCTTAGCCACCAACCTCGCTTTGTACGTTTCAATGCTACCATCGACATACTTCTTAGTCTTGAAGATTCATTTTTTGCTAAAAATATTCATGGCTTGTGTTTGAGGCACTAGTGTCTAAGTTTTTGAGTTCAAGAGAGCATTAAACTTCTAAGCCATTGTCGATTGCCATTCCAAAATTTTTTTGGCTTTAGAGATGCATGTTGGACTCTTTAGGACCAAAGTGTGAGTGAATGCCATATAAGCATTTGGTTGGGGTGGGGAACCCTTGTCTGAGCTTGGCTGCCTGTCCTCTGTTCTATGGTTGCAAGTCATATGGTCTAAAATCTAAAACCAAGTTCAGACAAGGGGTAGAAGGGGAAGCATTGTTGGGATTTGCAAAGGATATGTGTTTAAAAGTTCTAGGGATGAGAAATTTATGGAGGGTGGATGATAGATTAGTCTGTGGTGGCTGATTGGCAGAGGAGGCAGGTGCATCGCGAGATGGTGTGGGAGAAGACACAGGCTGGGGGCTGTAATCGGAGCCAATGAAGACACAAAATGGGCCGATCGATGCTGACCTGTAAAAGGAGACTGAGGTGGGTGACTTAGGGCTCAAATGGGCATGCTGGCCCAAGGGGCAGAGGAGACAAAGATGGAGGGCTGGGCAATAGGTTGATCAGTTTGAGCGAAGGGAAAAATGTTTTCTATAAAACGGACATGATGAGCAATGTAAAAACGATGATTTTTCTTGTCGAAACAAAGGTATCCTTGATGGAAAGGACTGTAGCCAAGAAAAATATATGGAATGGAACCCAAATCTAATTTGTGTTTGTTATATGGGCGCAAGCAAAGGTAGTAGAGACAAAAATAAAAAAATAAAAAAAATAAAAAAAATTGAGAAAAAAACTATTTCAAAAAGGGAGGAATCATTAAGAATTAAATATGGCATTCTATTAATTAAGAAAATAGCAATTTCAAAAGTATTGTGCTAGTATTTTCTAGAGACTCTAGCCTCACCTAATTAAGTGAGTCTCCAACCTATCAGTGGATGAAAGGATCAAATTGATAATTCTTGAATTTTTTTTCTTTTCTATGAAATAATTCCTGAATACATTAGGGGATCTCATGGTAAAAATTATAGTTTATCAACCCAACCGAGGAAATGGCTGTACGTTAGGAACGAATTTGATATGACCCCTTTTATTAAAACATTTCATGGCATCTCTTGATTGGGAAATAAAAAAATAGAGAATGTGGAGGAGTGCTTCCTATCCTATCTGATAATAACGTAGATCCAATTTTTTCAATGCAATTGATGGTCATTTACTTTTACTAAAAAGAAATGATTAAAAAAAAGTACAAAATAAACTTAATTAGTTTTTCATCTCTAATCATATATCCTTACTATGAGAAAGAAAAAAACATTAAAAATGCACGGTTTGCTCAACAGAAAATAGTAAAAAATTCCATGCCTTCGGCCTAAATCAGAATGAAATCATTTATAAGGTGCAAAATGACAAAAGAAAGAAGACGTTTCTCATCATTTTTATAGCTTCATGAGAACAAGGTTTATCAAAACATAAAGAGAAAAAGGAAATTAGTACATGTAAAACAATATTATAGCACAAGTACATATATACTAAAAATAAAATGTACTTATTGAAATATTCTGACTTATTAATTCATTATTACATGTTTGTTCACATTATAGAACAAGCATGAGGGTTTTCATCACTGAACGCCGCTCCTGTCTGGTGATTAAAGATGGAGGAATGGACTGGATGATGATAATAGCCATGATCATTGCTATCATATCCATGTTTGTAGTAATTGTAAGAAGAGGAAGGCTGAGGAGCATGGTAAGGAAGAGGACCATTAACTTGTAGTTGATTGTAATAATGGTCAGAAAAGCTATGATGTTGTGGATTATAAGGTAATTGCCAGAGCTCAGCCCTTCTTCCTGTCTTTCGAACTGTTTTCAGAACCTTTTTTTGGTCTGCCCATCCTGTGACTGTCACCTTTTGTAATCCCATGTCTATATCTATGTCATCTACACCTGTGTATATATTTTTACATGCAAAAACTTGAGATATAGTCCAAGAAAATATGGCCAAAAAAAAGAACAAAACAAAGAAAATAATTCATGGAGAAAAAGGATAATTAAGGTCATGATTTCTACCTTTGATTTTTTCCAGAGCATTTTTCACCTTGCTTTCGCATCCGGCACAATCCATGTGTACTCTCATTTCTATGATCTGAGTAAAATACAGAAAGAAACTTCATAATAATTAAAATTTATAGGTTAATTTCATGCACTAGATGATAAAAAAAGAAATAGAAACCATGCTTACCGAAGTCATTATAATTTTTGTTTCTGAAAGCTTGAAATAGATTAGAGGGAAGACGATTGATAGAGTTGAAATGTATGATAGTACGAGTATTTCTAGCTATGTATTATATACTCTTTATATATAGAACATGTAATTTGATATAATAATGGTAAATGATTGGACTTATAACTTATTATATAATTTAATGGACCGACTTTATTTTCATATAGCTGTCTTGCAAATGAGATGTTGCAACTTGAAGAAGAGCCTTAATTATTGGGCTAATCTCAAATATATCCTCAAACTATTAGATTGGTATCATTTTTGCTCTTAAACTATTTTTTTCTATTAAATTTACTTATAAATTATTTTTATTTTCAGTTAAGGATTTCTGTTCAAATCACATAGTGCAAAACATTAAATTTTTTTTATAGAATGACATCGTTTTTTGAAAGGAAAAAAATGGATGGAAAAGTAAAACCATAAAAAATAGATAAAAATTCTTAATTAAGATTTTCTAAATGCTTGAAGATAAAATTGATACAAAAACGTATTTGAGGGGAATATTGAGACTACTTGTACAATTGAGGACATCCTTGAAGTTTTCCCTTAATTAATTATTAAGCTATGAAAAGTCTACCATGTTAAAGAGGACATCGACAAATCCATACGGGCATACACGTAGCTAATTAATAATATTTCTTCTTGAGAATTGACTTTTTGGAGGTTAGTCTTAAAAAAATATATATGAACAAAAATAATTACTTATATATATATATATATAGAAGTATAAAGCAAGTTTTCATGCAAAAAGAAGTAAAGTGCTTGACCAGTGGACCCGGTGATGGAAACTGAGAACTTCACGTGATATTTAGCGATTCCATCGGATCCTGTTCTCATCATTTTTAGGGATGGCAATGGGGGCGGGGATCCCTGCCTCAAAATAATTTACCTCATTTTCATTTGGTATTTCATTGGGATGAAATTTTGACTGTCATTTTCATCTTAAACAGACCGGGATGAAACTAAGTCTCATCAAATTATAATTTTTAAAAGTAAAATAGCAAGGTGCGGTCCTTGTCTAGTCCCAAAAAAAAAAAAATTTATCCCATCCCCATCTCATATTGTGTTCAAAGTAAAATTTTGGTTATCATTCTTGACCCAAGTAAGACGGGACAAAGCAAATTATCATCCCTAATCATTTTCTCTCCTCAAGAAATAAAGTACTTGATTATTATTATTGTTGTTTTATTTTATTACAGCCTAGTCTTAAAAAAATATTAACAATATATATATATGGTAAGAGGAAATTAAAATTGGAAAAAATAAAACATAGGTAATTAAAGAAAAAAATGGATTGCATATGAATAGTCATCATTTAATTCTACCTAGAGTTAGGGAAGACAATAAACCAGATATCTAATCCATTAATTTGATCTCTTATCTTGACTATTAAAAGAATTCTACCCATACTCATTGAGAAGAAGGGAAAAAAACTGCTAAATTCATCATCAAATTTGTTATTTCTACTACTTATTTTTAAAAATTACTAATACATTTTTTCGTCAATATTTATTCCTATATCATAGTTAAATATATTTTATATTAAATATTCAAAATGCCCAGAGAAGCAGCAGAAGAATGTGGACCGTAACAACCCTAAGAAGCCTGCATCTTCATTCCTTCTGTTCAGGTAAAAGCCTTTCTCAAATTGTCACACTCTACGATGCAGCATTTGCAATTGAAGTTATTAAGCTATTGTTTTCTACGATGCAGCAAAGTAACAAGGAAAAGTTTAATGCAAAAGCACTCTGGAATCAATAATTCCAAACTTACTGCAATGATTTCTATGAAGTGGAAAGTAATTCAATTTGTAAAATCCATTGTTTTTCTTAAGTAATTGTTGGCTTGCAAGTCCTCAAGTGTCTGATTTTGTAACTTGTGTTGTTGGGTTTACAGGAACCTAATCAAGAAGAAAGGCAAATCTGGAACTGCAAAGCTGCTGAAGCCATGGAAGCATACAAGAAGAAGGTTTTCCTTCTTTTCTTTTTCGTTTCGGATAGAAAAAAATAAAAGAGTTAGGTGAATAAAAACCAAAAGAAAGTTCATCGCCAATGATAAAGACTTCTGAATAAAGGTTATTTTAGAATGTATCAGCTGTGTTCAAAACAATATGAAAAAAAAAAATCAGCATTTCTAGATATATTACTCAAAAATCGCAACAATAAAATGAGATTTTCGCACAGAAAACAAAAATGCATGCAATTCTTATTTGTCGAAAATATTATTATAATAAATGTAATATTCGTAAAACTGCATCTCCATGATTCCCAAACTTACAGAATGTCCAGTTTCTGAACTTTGAAATTGGTATATTAAATAATCCAATGAATCTTGAAGTATAAAATGGGGTTCAAAATCCTTTCCTCGTGTGGTTTTAAATCTAAAATTTTTTAGTCAAAACTTCAAATGTTCCCTCTAGGAATGAACAGTTTGATATTTAACTTTTTTCTAACGTCTTAAGTATCTAAGCAGGACCCTCTAAACGAATGTAATCATATAAGATTCCTTCGAAAGCGTTTCTAATTCTCGATAGAGTTAGATATACGGTGTTCTGTCCTTTGAGAAGATGTTGACCTAGCACATCAACGCTATAGAATCTGTATAGCCCACGAATCCTATGTCTTGCAATTGCGTTATCCTTGCCTATCAGCCGCGTTTGAAAGTGGGGACGACCGGCACTTGGGTCATTGAACCGAACCTGTTGAGACAATAAATAGCCACAAAGATTAAGCGTGCATCTTCTGAAAAACGAATGTGATAAGTAAATCATATATATCTATAAAAAAGTCTTATTAATTTTGAATAATTTTAGAAGTATTACACTTTTAGTGTGTTATCATAAAATAATTCTTTAAAGTATAGATCTTATATTTTAATTTTTAAATGTAAATTAGTTAATATTAGACATTAATCATTTTCAAGAAAAACAACTCTTTCCTTCCTAATGCTAATAAATGGACAATATGAAAATAAAATAAAAATGTAATAGTTTCTTGCAATTCTTGATTTATGGGAAAAAAATGAAGGTTATAACAAAAAAATTAAGGACATTTTAATCGAATCAAATCTTTCGACATAATTTATAGTTATAGATAACCATGGATAGATTACGTGTATTTTCTTTTTTCCACAATGCTAACAAAACATCATGTTGCAATAAAAATTCAAGAGCTTGTAAAAGTGCGCTTTGATTTTGACATATGGAGTAGTTCCCCACTGATGACAGAAAAAATGAAGGTTGCTAAGATATTTACCTGTAGGGCACATATATGGGCAGATGCTAAAGCCAATTGGAATGTGTAATGACCAGTTTGGTTCACATTTTCTAGTTCAAATTTAATTTGCCAAGTGGTTGGATTGTAAGTGTTCTTTCCTGCATTCCTGTAATGCACAAGTAATAATTATAGAAGAACCAGTTGAAGCTAGGATGATTGTAACACAAATACGTATCCGAGGGTTGAACCAAGAGAAAGAAGAATATATTACCTGGGAACGTGAGCAAAAAACCAATCTCGAGAAAAATTACTTGTACCTATGGTATATATCAGATCATTCTTAGGATATAAATATTTGTATCGTTCCCACAGGCCATACTGCCTATATCTGTGCACAAACGAGAAGTTCCAAATGTTAGTGATTCAATATAAAACCATGTTTGAGATTATATTTAATAGTTTAAATTTTTGGATCATCAATGTCTTGATGCATGATGAGGTAGAGGAGGGAACAAATTACTTATGTTTTGTGAGATTGTTGAATAATCTGTTTTCGAGGGTTGGATATGGATCTGGCACAAAGAATTCGGCAGCAGAGCGATCAGGGATGCCTATTTCCCAGAGGGTAGGACCATTTCTTGGAGGACCATACCTGAGGAGACCCAGATTGATATTACTACCTGCATTTCCCAATGTAACCTAAGTTAATATTCAAACCAAAAACATGAAAATGAAAATGATAGAATAACCCAAATTAAAAAAAAAAAAAAAAACCATAATATCCTCTCTGGGTGAAAAAATGGTGGCACTGTACCTGGTTTTATGGAAATGTTGACTTCATGCTTGTAATCGCCAATAATTCCAGGAACCCAAGCATAGAGATTATAATCGCCAGCTCGAACATTTTTTATTGAGAAATATCCTTTCTTGTCAGCCCGAGTCCAAAATTGATAACCCTGAAAAAAAAAAATTATTGAAAGTTAAGAACAAACAATAAAATAAAAAATTAACTAATAATTTCTTTATTATATTTTCTTAATATTTAGCACAACTCAACAAATACTAACCTTCGAATCAAATTGCCATGAACCCGCGGCTCCAGGCACTGCCAACCCAATGTAAGCATAGCTCGCCGATTTTAATGATTTGTACATGAATCTGAAAGAAATTTTCAATCGAGAAGAATGATTATTTATGCATAATTATTTTTTTTACTTGCAAAAAATTGTTAATTAATTATTATATTTCATCTTAAATAGAGAAATGAAAATTACAGGTCTCGGATCACTAATTGGCCTGAAACGGTTCCTCGTTGGTCCGCAGAAGGAAAATCTTCAGAACGTGTTAAATTATTATATGGCCATTGATTCTCTTCAATAGACATCTGATAAAAAAAAAAAAAAAAAAAAGTCAAGTTTCAGTAGATAAATTTTTGAGCCAATTTGTCATGTAAAAGCACTAGCCATAAAAGGAAAACAGACTGAACTTGCCTGTTTTTTAGCATCATCCCAAAGGGATCTGTAATCCTTCCTAGATGGAATGGAATTAAGATAGACAAAGATAGGGCCAAAAACTTTTTTCCATCCTTCTCCAGTCCGATATTTTGTATCCAAGTCCATCCCAGTATAGTGAGTACTGGTGAACATCTGCATAAAATTAACGAACTATGATATATATATATACACATACACACACTTACTACTCATGAGATCGAATTACCTAGCTTTTTTATTTTTATTCGTCAATAAAAAAAATATATTCAGAATAACTTACGCGTCAATGGAAACTTAAAACTCATCGCTATATCAACTTCATATATATATATATATATATATATATATATATATATATATATATAAGTGCTAATTTTAACGTTTGAATTCAAAAAATTAAAAAAGAAATTCTTAATGACGAGATCAATTCTTTAAAATTAGCAAATTATTTGTAAACTGATTCGAAATTGAACTAAATGAACTTGTGGCTAGCTAGCTAGGTTTATTTATATATTTTCGTTTATTTTACTAACTACTGTCTTCCTTTAAGGTTTATCGATTTTTCTATTATATGTAATGTTGTGCCCTAATATACGATAGGATATTAGAGTAAGAGGTGAGACTTACAGAGAGGATGGTTGGACCAACATGAGCGGTGAGGTCTTGCTTGATAGGTCCACCAGAACGGAACTCTTGACTGGGCGTAATCATCCAAAATCCCACAGCTCCGTCTTGGGATATCCATCCGTGCACCTTGTCATCTTTGCTCTCCATCGCATACTGATACTTGTCATCAACCTGTTGGGAATCAACTATTCTTTAGTTCCTTCATCTTGAACATTATAATAACTTAAACCTTCATATTTGAAACTTATAACTTAGGTCCTGTACTGATGTTAGGAAAAAAAAAAAAAGTTTTACATACATCGAGATCTCGTATAATTTGAATTTTTTTAATTAAGATCTTAAGTTTTTTTATATCAAATTTAAAAGTTCTACTTTTATATTATTGTTTCAGATTCTAATATATTATGTAAGTACACATGACATATTATATAAGCTCTAACTAATAACGAGTTTATCATGTGTCATAATGAACTCAAATTAAATGATTGAATTGATGATGTGACAATCAATCATTGGTTAAAACTTGACATATGTGTTTATGTGGCACATTAAAATCTAAAATAATAACAATATAAAAGTAGAACTGTTAAATAAGACATAAAAAAAATATAAAATGTTAATAAAAAAATTTGAATTATACGAGATCTCAATATGTAAAAAAAAAAAAGAGGGGGCGCGGGCGGGGTTACCTCTCCTCTAAAAAGTGGGTTGCTTGTATGGGTCAAGCGAACAGCTTCAGCATATGCCAGAGTTTGGCCAGCTTTACGGTCTTTGGGAGTTGGCATGAACCTTTGTATCTCATCCGATATTGCTATATAACGAAACCTAACCGTGTATTTCATGCACGTGATGTAACAAATTATTCTTGTTCTAAGGCAAAATACCGATAAAGATAAAAAATAATTAATTATTTACCTTTGGTTTTTGAGTTTGAAGACGATCCTAATTTGATTCATGTTCACATCAGGCCATCCTTTTAAGCGCTCCAATATGGCATACATGTAAAACCCTGAGCTACCACGCCTCATTATGTATCTGCAAATTTAATTGACTAATAATAATTCATGTTTATTTTCAGCCCATTTTGAACATTTATTAAAACAAAATTTTTTCTTCGAATAATTAGAAAAATAAACTTTCTAAACTCAAAAAATCTAATCAGATAATAAACCTCCTTAACTACAAAATCGAATAAAATTGTATTGGTAATTATTTAATTGAATAGTATTATTTTTAGACCATCTTGGATATTAATTAGTCCTAATTTTTTTCTTCGAATAATTTTAAATACGTATACCTTCACATCGATATGATGGGATTAATTAGAAAAATAAATTTTCTGAACTCAAAAAGTCTAAGGAGATAATAAACTTCTTTAACTACGAGATCGTTTAAAATTGTATTGGTAATTAATTAGCTAATCTTTTTTTGATCCATTAATAGAAAGGAGAAATCTTACCTTTTGTCTATATTTAGAGGAACTGCGGAGTTGTGACCATGCGATGAATTCCATGATTTAGTAAAAGATAACTCTACTTGGTCTTCATTTTCGGTTACAACACGAAACTCTGTAGCTTTCAACCTGCAGATTTTTGAAATCATAGATTATATATCTAAATAAATAGTTGGTACAAGATATATGCGATTTAAACAAAGTAATTAATTCATATATCATTAAGAGCAAACTTACATATCAGTGGAATCACGTCCCCCTGGCTTAGACCAAACGATATCCCAATACCTGAATGTACAAATATATATATGCTAATTAATTATATACCATAAAAATACACAAAAATTTTAGGTAGAAAACAATGGGGAATTTGGGATGTAGGCATGGACGAACCCTTTGTAAGCATCGTTTTCGAGTAAATCTTCAATTCCATTGTATTTCACTCCTCTGACTAAACCATTTGGTTTCGACAAAGTGAGTTGGACAATTCCATTATCGATCACCACCTATATAGAGGTTAAAAAGAAAACAAAATTATTATCGATCATACATATGTATAATAATAATTACTATATAAAGAGTTCTAAAATCTAGATTATAAAATTACAAATTAAGAAAAATAAATTAAGATGAGTTTCCAAAACAAAATATATATTACTGTATTTATGATTATAAATTCTATTAGAATACGATCATAACTATATTTACTTTTACCTTAAATACTCGATCTTCTTTTCAAAGAGATTGTCTTTTTTTTTTATTCAAAATGTTTATCTAATGAAAAATTTAAATAATATATTTTTCTAAAATTTTAAAATACTTATAATTAAGTTTATTTTCTAAAAAAATTATTCAAATACAATTTTTAATTCAAAAATTTAATAGTATATTTTTCTAAAAATACTCCTAATTAAATTTTATTTTGAAAAAGATTTTACAAATATAATTTGTAACAACAGGATATCTTAAAAAAAATATAAACAAAAACTAATGATATAATATAATAATTAACTTTCTTAATCGGTGTAAAAAGTCAAAAAAGAAAATTTATTTATGAGAAAGGGAATAATTTATTAATTGACACGGCAAATAAGAAAAGAAAAGGTAAAATTGGAAAAACATAATTACATGATCATGATATGTGTGAAGTTGCACCGGAGGAGATGAGTTGATCTCGCTCATTGGAATTTCACTGCCATTAACCAAAAACAAAAAGAAAAAAGAAAAAAAAGTTAGTCTTGTAAATTCAACAATAGATTTTATCGATCACGCACCTAAATAAAGGGTCTTGTTAAATTAAATATTAGGTGTTTTGTGACCAAAAAAAGAAAGAAAATATTAGGTACATTAATTATTTTTTTACAAGAACAAATAACCTAGCTCTACATACCTGGTTGCTAATGCTAGCTATCCCTTTTACCAACTCTTCTCTTTATAATATTACTATAGAAGAGGAAAAAAGAAGAAGGACAAGCTCAAATATTTCTCACCTTTCTTGCTCTATCGGATAACAAAAACTCAGCTGTATAAGACATGCTATCCATATGCAAGCAAATAAAGGTAATTGCATGGCAACATAAGAGTATTCCATATTCATGTTCATAGCCACGAGTAACTGTAAAATATTTCTTCTGCCTTCCTCTAAGCCAAAAGCAAGAAAGAAGGAGACAGAATAAGTTGTAAAGGAGAGGGAATGCAAAGAACTTTATAATGCAAGAACGATTACTATTTTATATTAGGAAGTATATATTTATATAAGTCAATTTTATAAACTTATAAGGTATCAAAAGAAGGCACCAATGAAGCTTCATCAAACGCATTCACCAAAGGAAGTTTATGGAGCGTGATACCACCAACAAGATGGATCAAGTTCTTTACTCTGCATTCAAATATGAAGTGTTGAAAATGAGCTGGCAACAAACCGACCACGTGGCTACCACATCACAAAACTAATTGCTTATGAAATTTGTTAATTAGTTAGAAGTTTGTTTGACGACTTAAATAGTAACAAACACGTGTTAAAATAAAAGGCATATATATAGAGTAGAATAGGTAGAGATATTTCTAAGTTTTTGAATTTTGAATGAATTTTGGACTCGTTTGATTTTTTTTTATTACATATGTATGTTAGAAAATTTGAAGATACATAGTTGTGAAATTTATTTTAACATGAGATTTTTTTTATGATTAAAATATTGGATCAACGAGTCTCCTATTGATTAGGGACGGACAATGATTTCGATATATTTAATTTTTTGAAAATTCTTTTAGTTGATTTTAGTTAATTAAAATTTTAAAGTTTTTTTTTAAATAAAAAATATATTTTTTTCGACGAAGTCTCCTATCCGATAGGGATCGACGTCACCAAAATTCATTTGTTTAATCAAAATGTCCTCCGACACATTGGTTGTGTCAAAGCTTAAAGTGGATCCGATGTTTGAATCGACGTATTTCCCGACGAAGGGGACCAACGATCGTTTCAATACGATACCACACCCATAACTAAAAAATTCAATTTCTCTTAAAAAAATAAGAGTTTAAAAATCAAAAAATAATTTAACGTAAATAAAATATTCTATGAGATAAATTTAGAGCTAAACTAGACATGGTACCTTTCTTCGAAAAGGGCGTTTTTGGGTGATCGATATCTTCCCAAAAGCGTAACCAACTCGTTACAATAAAATCTCCGAACCGATTGTCCGTTTTAGTTTCCTAGTTCCTTCAATACTAGGTGGCGACTCCAAACTCGTAAATAAACTTGTAAATACCAATCTAATTTTAGATATTTTTGGAGAGACCCGTCCGACATCGGGTAGCAACGGAATGACGACTTCACTGGGGACTAAAGTTACGCCATAGGTTTAGTTTTTTAATTTATCTCCTATGTTTATTATTATTTTTTTTGAAAGCTCTCATATGTTTATTATTATTATTATTTTATTTTATTTTCTGAATTCATTTTTTTTGTATATATTTATATTATTGTAATTTATTTTACGCATTCTATTTTCTCATGGCATGTTCATTTTTTGAATTGGGTTGCATATTTTTGTTTATTCTGCTACACACACCACGAAGGGAACCTATAAAAGCTGCGGACCCGAGCTAAATCCCGATAGGACTTAGATAGAGAGATCTTGAGGCGAGTATGACAAAAGTCTACCGATGCTCTTTCGGAATCTCGTTTGGACCGAAACTCACCCTATACATCGAAAATGATGGAATAACCTTCCCCTACCTTTAGTGTCTAAGGTTAGAGGTTGGATTACCCAACTGGTAATTTAGACGAGTCTAGAAACTTGAAATATCTTTAGGACTAGTCAAGCTTTACCCAACCATAGAAAAACTAGATCTTATCTATTAGGATTGACCCAATTAAGACATGAATCATTGTCAAATGATGTCGATACTAACCCTTGGTATTCCAAGGTTATTTTTGTAATTTTTAGTGAAGGTTATCCTTCGTATTAAATCATAATCGAAGAATTCAGAAATAAGGTCGAGGACTTTAGATCGGATTTGAGCGGGCTCAAAATGATGAAAGAGATTGTCTGCCACTTGAATTTCGTGTCGAGACTGCGAAAAAAAGTTTCACCCTTCGTGTGCTTATAATAAGAGTGGTTTCATCATTCCAAAATCAAGTCACGATTGAAATTGGAGGTATACATATCGCCTAATCGCCTAAGTATCTATGGGTTAATTTTGCCCGCAGCGAGTACTAGCTTGGTCTAACCCATCCTTGATAGGATTCCGTCATAATTTAATAAAGAAAGTTATCCAACCTAGTTCAAAATCATGTATTTGCATTAAGTATTTATTTGTATATATTTTTTTTTCATTTTTAGTGAAGTAAACATAGGCCGCTCCACTCGATCCCCTCTGCGCGTCTACAACACTCGACTTCGGACTCGTTAAATGAAAAATGAAGAAAGACCACGACAGGAGACAATTAGTCGGAAGAGTTTGACTCACTAAAAAGAGTGTGACTCAAATAACATCCCTATTAGACCAAGCCTTAAGAGGGGAAGGTGGCTTGAATCAAGGACGGGAACAACCCAAAGTACCTCATGTTGTTCTATTGCCCAATCAATCGGGGAATTCTAATAAAGCAACTTTTCGAGTGATAGCTCACATCCTGCTAGGGCATTTGCTTATCCCATGGACCCATGAGTCCCGTAAATGTCACATATTTCCCTTGTAGATCCTACGGAAGAAGAAACTCACGGTTATAGGACAACCGAAGGTCCAAGTATGGACAAACTTATGGCATTAGAAGAACGTCTAAGGGTAATAAAGGGGCGGATGTCTACGATCCTATCAAAGCTGCTGAAATGTGTCTAGTGCTCGATGTGGTAATCCCGAGGAAGTTTAAGGTGCTAGATTTTGCTAAATATACCGAAACCCGAGTGTCCTATGACCCACTCGAGGGTATACCGTAGTAAAATGACGGATGTTGTTCACGATGAAAAACTACTCATACATTTCTTTTATGAGAGCTTAGGCGGATCGGCATTGAGTTGGTATATGAGGTTAGAGGGGTCCAAGATCGAGAGGATGGAAAGATCTAGCCGATGCTTTTCTCGAGCAACACAAGTTTAACATAGAAGTGGCTCCGAATCATTCGGATCTCTAAGGTATGGAAAAAGGGGCTAAAGAGGTCGTTAAGGAGTACGCACAAAGGTGGCGTGACGTAGCGGCTCGAATCCACCCACCATTACTAGAATATGAGTTAATCTCGATATTTTTGAATACTTTCAAAGCACCCTACTTTGGGTATTTGATTGGTAATGTTTCAACTAACTTTATTGACATTGTTATTATAGCTGGAAAGGTGGAGCAAGCAATTAAAGCTGAAAAGGTTTTTGATAGTTACGAAAAGAAAAGAGACAATGGTAACAAAAGAACGAGATGAGGAGATACATTAGGTTGGGACTGGATCTTACCTATCAAAAAATCAAAGGAGTAATCAAAGACAACATAAAAACCATGGCGGCTCCAGGTAACCCCCAAAGACCTTCATTCACCCAATATACCCCCGACCTAAAAAACACCATAAACTAAACATACCAGTTAAATCGATCAAGTTCTCATACATACCTTATCAAACTTACCAAGTAAATCAATTCCCTTAAGCTACTACATATTTTTAAAATCCACCAACTCACAACCAAGACTACAAAAAAGAACTCGAGCAACTACCACTCTTACCTATCTCATTGGGTGAGATGTTTGAACATCTAGTGGGTACTGGACTGATTACCCCAATTCCTATCAAACCAAAGCTCCCTCCTTATCCTGTATGGTACCAACAAAATGAAAGTTACGAATATCATTCGATGCTACTTGGACACGATATCGATAATTGTCCTGCTCTCGAAAAGAGGCTCTTGACTTTGATTAAGAAAGGACGGATCAACCTTGATAGTTTTTCAAATACTTATGATGTGAGCATGGATCAACTACCAAGCCATACGGCTCCCAATGCATGGAATGAAGAGATGGAGTGAGCACGAAAGATATGATGAGGATGCATACTCATTTAATTTTATCGGATTTTGAAAACTATTTTTTGAATGTTTTGTTATGCATGAGTTAAAATGTATATTTGAATGAAAGAATGCTTAAGTTTCTTTTGCAATTTGATATTATCTGATTTGAAATCAAGAGATGTTCATTTAAAAGTATTACTTGGCATTAGCATCTTCCTCCATTAAGGAAGCATAAAGGAAAATTCATTCAAAGAAATTTTTACAAAAATTGATCAAATTTCAAAATGTGATAGATCTATGCTAGAGACAATTTCTTCAAAGCCAATGATATATCCTCCTAATAGCTTTTACGAGCGAGAAAGTAATGAGCGAAATCCTCCATTTTGTTAACAAAAAAAAAAATTCTTTATCCTTTCTCAAACTTAACCTTTGAAGGAAAAGTGTTGCCTAAGAAAACATAATGAAGCCCAAAGGAAAGACTTAATGATTGAAGCCTTAAATAGTGATGAACAATATATCTTTTACTCATGAAAGCATTCATCATTTTTCTCTAAATTAATCATCATCGTTCAAAAGAGATTAGTGTGTAACGATATAGGTGATTCGAGTCATTGAGATGAGGTAAGTCCATCTTTCATATGTCTCACATAAATTTTATTCTTCGTCATCCCACTTTGAGCACGATGATTTTCTTCATAATAACTCGAACTGGAATCACCCCTCACACCGAGGGTAAAGTGTATAGTTCATGAATGGTCGATGAAACTCTTAAAAACTTCTATCAAAAGAATCTCATCAATTATTTTAAGAGGAAAAAGAAAAAGAGGGGAGAAAAAAACAAAAAAAAAATAGAAAGAAAAACTTCCAAAACATAAAAATTATAAGTCAAGATGGGAGTCAAAATTCAACAAAAAAACAAAGAGAGTTAAAGCTAGAAAACAAAGTCAACGATCAAAATGACAAAATCCATTTGGCAAGCCTAAAAAAATTTTCTCGAGGGCATACCGACCTAACTAGTGGCTAAAGTGATAAAGTCCAAGCAATGC